TAGTGCAGTGGTCTTAACCTTAACTATCACGTCCCCCTTTAGGAATTTGTCCTTCCCTCCACGCCTCCCTTGCATCTGTAAATAAAATGCCCTCTCATATTTTAAACAAAATTATAAGCATTCTTTTTTTGTCTTTTATTGAGGAAGAATTAGCGTTATGTGTGTGTGTGTGTGTGTGTGTGTGTGTGTGTGTGTGTGTGTGTGTGTGTGTGTGTGTGTGTGTGTGTGTGTGTGTGTGTGTGTGTGTGTGTGAATAGGCGTGTTTGATTGCGCGTGTGTGTACATTGTGTGAGCAAATGCAATTGTAGTTACATGTAAGCATAAGTGCATATATAAGTATTTATAGAAATTACTTGGCGTGTATATTCTATAAGTAGTCTTCATCAGCAGCACTCATTTTGAGTCACACATGAATGAAAATTAATCAATAGAATGTTTCTGTCAGGTTTCCCGTAAGTGCGCATTGTCACCTAAAAGGCAGTTAAGTTGTAGCAACCGCTATCTATTCATTTATTCATTTATCTATTTATTTTGCTGAGCAGCTATTTGTGCAATATTTATCGTTTCAAATACTTCTTTAAGAAGTATCTTGTATTACTGTTAAAGTGGCATCCGAGTTAAGCGTGATGATGCCTTGCGCAGGTGTGTCGTCTGCACCTTTGTGCTGTGTTTTATGTATTGCTGTTGTTTCGCCTTGTCATTTTAACTTTTCGATGTGGTTCAGTGTCGATATAGGCCCCCCCCCCCCGCCCGCCCGCCGCCCTCTCTCTGATATACGACTGACTGGGCTTTACCACAATCGATGGTTGATAATTGATTTAATTAATTTGAGTAATACTATTTTTTTTCTAGGCAATAGCAGGCAGTTACCTTTATTATACACCATTGATTACATTAATTCTAGCACGTGTGATTAGAAAGTTTGAATCATAATTGGTTTTGCCATGTCTTTGGACACATAGCTTTTTAATATTATTTTGCAAATTTCTAGTTGTCTTTAATGTGGTATTTGATTTCAGATGCCACGAAATTATGTTAGAAGACACAACGGGCTGCTGTTCCCCTTGATGTTATGAAACGAGCTGCTTGATGCATTCATGCTGTGCTAGTTTGAGAGAAGTATCACGCAATTTTGATCTTGACAGAGCCACACTGCGTCGTTTATCATGAAATCTAGAGGCAAATGGAGAACGATATGTCGCAAGAGTTGATATTGTGGATGGCAATGAGCTAGAGGTAGTTTTTCATGAAGAAAACTTCAGGACATAGGCTTGAAGAAGAGAAACCGGCTTTTATTATTGACCACAGTGATGAGGCATCATCCATAAGCAAGATGTATTGAAGGTTCTACCAGCCCCCAAAAATATGCGTGGAAGTCTACGTAAATCAACCAGCTAGTTTTCCCCTGTGACTTAAAAAGATTTAATTTGTCATAACTCTAGTAATGGGCATTATTGGACAGTATAGAGAGGTACTTGGCAGAGCTGTATCACGTTTGATTACTTACTAATAATTTGTGTAATTGTTTGCTTTTCCTCGAGTTCATATTGTCATTCATTCATAACTAGATTTATCATTCACCAATAAGCACATTAATACCAGAATGTGTTATCGGAAAGCTTCATTTATAGTCGGATTTTCTTCCAATTAAGGTTACAACACAGCCTCTCGCCACTGGTCAGTTGAGTAGTGATCGTGAACAGACGGAAAAATTAATGAAACCTGTAAGGTTGCATTTTTTTTTATTTATTTTTTTTTTATTGGCCATGGCAATCTTAGAGGGCATACTTTATTCTCAACTGTTTTTGTAGTTTTCAAAGATGGGTGACTAATAGAAAATGGTATAAACCTCTCCAAGGTATCCTATTACTTATAAGTCATATTTCATAATCATAGCCTCTTCCATATTTTTCCACAGGCCAATACACAACCATCCTTTTCTTTCTCTCTATCTTTCCCCATCTTTATATGGGGTCGACTTGTGTTTTTGTTGCCTCCTTCTTTCGACTTCTCCCCTCAGGGGTCGCCACAGTGGAATGAATGATCAGTCCTCCTCATTCATCCGGGCTTGTGGACTCCCATGGCTGTAAGTAATTGAAGTGAAGTTCCTTGTGCAGGGGAACAACGCGCCGGCCGGTGACTCGGACTCCCGAACTCTGATTGGCATGACCGTCCTTTGAGTCCGATGCTCTAACCACTCGAACAAGCATATACAGAATCATATAGAGTAATCTTTATTTTTATTACAAAAATAACAAGAAAAAAGAGAGCAAGATGTTCTTTTATTATGCACAAAATGTCATCATGTGATTTATCAAGTTTATGGGTTACAAGCAGGGACGTCATTTCAGATTTTCTTGAGGGGGGAGGGGGAGGGGGCAAGGTGCAACTGCAGAAAAAAAGAGCAAGTCTAGGAGCATTTTTGAGTTTTGACCAGAGATATATAAAGGTGTGGCCCTTGGGGGGGGGGGGGAAGACAGACAAGAGGGGAGCAATTACTCCCCCAACCCCCTCCCCCAAGAGAGGCCCTGGTTACATGGTACTATAATATATTTGTCTGTGACCCAAATAAAATGGGACGTGTTCTCCAGTCTGAATCTATGTACCCAGTCTATCTATCTCTCTGTCAGTATATCCATCTATTATCTATCTAACCCACTTGCATCCATAGTGTGTGTGTGTGTGTGTGTGTGTGTGTGTGTGTGTGTGTGTGTGTGTGTGTGTGTGTGTGTGTGTGTGTGTGTGTGTGTGTGTGTGTGTGTTTATATGTATTTTTATGTGTGTGTAGTTTATTATCTGTCTGCAGTTACAGAATCATCTAATCTATATTGTTTGCTTTTTATGTATTGCAAGGCTCCATGCTTTTTTATGATGTTTGTTGCTAACAATATTTTTGTTTAGCATGTGATAATTCAGTATTTTGAATCACTGTATGTTACAAACTTTTGCAACTACAAATTTTTCATAGATCTTTAAATTCCAAAGTATTTAACTAAATACTTTTTTTTTTTCTTTTGATGATATTGATGTAATTTTGACTCGAGTATATCATGAAGCAGCTGTGAAACCACAGCCACAAGCAGGTTACTAAAACTCACTTTTCTGTGACGCAATCCAATAAATATTTTATTCCAATAGTAAAAATCATAACATTCCTGAATAGACTTCAAATCTTCAATAAAAAAATAAGAAAGAATTGTACAAAGTAACAAACAATTCACAGTGAATAACTGACACGACAAGTTTTGCTACTGGACTTGACGCCTGTATAAAAATAAAACCACAAGAACAGTAGTATCGGCGGACTCTTGCCTAGATGCATGTTCTTATGGAATTCAGAAATTAATAAAAATGTATGCAGTATATATTAAAGAAAAAATTTGAACCAGTAGGGTTAAAATATCTGATACTCTTCTCTTCTGTCAGTACAAGACTGTTGCATATACATTATAGTGAAAGGTGTACTTTGTCTGAAAATATGAATCCCACACACAAGATTTAAGAGGGAAAGATGCAGTTTTACCCCTGGGTGCATCTCGTGCTGATAGAAAATGAGCTAATGAGCAATTACTTGATGATTTACTTGCAGGTCACAGTGAAAGCCACATGAAATTATTACTGTAAGACTTGAGGTAATGGGTGAAAGAGCACAATCTTTTGTAACCAGCATAATACTTTGAACAGGCAATCTATTATTTCATTTTAAACCCCTATTTATACAGGAAGGTGCAATACTCCCCTCTCATGTAGTGAAGGTTACATTTTTACCCAAGACCTTTTAGTTCATCACACATTGAAGATATAACAAATAGATAAAAAAGTAGATTTGAACAAAAATAAACATCATAGAAATCAACAACATATAGATCTGATCTCATACAGTCTTGGATTGTTGGTCACATTTTAGAGAGACTAGGAAAAAGTTGCAGGAATAGCAAACAAGAAAAATGTTTGGGAGAAGAATCATTTGTAAGACTTACTACTGTCTTCCATCAGTTAATATAGAATAAAATTTATAACATGATCAACAGCTATGTACATCGTGTGGATGTTAAAAGGGTTTTTAAATCTTAGGAGTAATATACAGTGCTTTATATACAAGAACTTTCCTGATACTTGGCTCTTTATATCCCCTCAAATCAGAGGTAATGAGCACCCTTTCTGGCAAGGTATCAAAATTTAGTTTCTGACTCCAAACGACCTAGGACACTGAAATTATTTTGATTTAATTCTGATGCAGGGGACAACCTGCTCTTAATGTGTAATTATTGTTGATGTGGGCTAATGATAAAAAAAATTTGTAAAACATTAACACCATCTGCAGTGTCTCTAGGTGGCCTGAGTACAGAAACCCATTAACTCTACTTTTTTGTTCCACTACACTACAGATGAAGAAGAAAATAAGTTGCCAGAAAAATAGACTGCCAAAAAGCATGGACTGGCTAATTGCTGTATCTCATCATCCTAACAATACCATCCAATCTATTGGAGGAAACCTATACAACTGTCCTCCGTTTCCATCTCAAGGATCAACTACATTGTAAGAGATCATTCACTGTGGGATTGCCGATTCCAATACTAAAATGGTACTGAAAGAAGACTTATTTAACTTGTATGGTGACAAGAAAATGAGTCTGATTAAGTTTCAATCTAGTCTATCATTACTGAAGAGGTCATTGATCTGCCTTCACATACCTTTAAATTAAATGTAAATTATGCCCTATAAAATTTATGTGGACAAACTGCTTGCTACATTGTCTACAATCTTCATGAACCCTCAAACAGAGCAAGCTTACCAGACTGTAATACTTTGCATAAAATACTGTTTTGAGATATAGTGCAACTAATTAGTAAATGAAGTGCACCATGATGAACAGATGAACTATGGAATATTGTTATTAAAGATAATGGAAATGATGATATAAGGTGTGAGCCATCAGATGCAATCTTCATTTCACTGATTCATTGCTTGTTGTTTGACATGTACCATCCTGAGAATTATATTAATTGCACTTGCCTAGTTTAAAAGCTTTTGAGTATTGGAGTCAAATGCAGCAGTTTATATTTCCTTAAACTTTCCACAGGACATGATCAGTGAAACTGGAGTACCAAGGAGATCAAGAGAATTTGAACTCTAAACAGTGAATTCAAAGCATTCCCCTTTCTGATGCTCCTAAACTCAAGAAAGATTGTAAATAACTATGCTGCAACTGTGACTCTTGTTATGTTTATGTGGTACTAAAAATATTACGAAATTCTCTGTCTGCTACCAAACAAATATTCATAATACTTTGGAGTACAATGTGAAATCAAATACTGGCAGTGAATTTCTACAATTCACAATGAAATGAATGGTTGCAGATCATCATGATCCAATTATTTGTTTAATAAGCCACTCTGCCAAGCTTCTGACTCTCCAGAGAGGAATGAGAATGGGAAAATAAACAATTGATCACAGGGTTGGATCAAACTACATGCAAAACACTCTTGGGATAAAATACTCTATATAGTATATGATAGAGTAATCAAGAAGACAAGGAGGTCTCCAGACTCAAAGAGTAAATCAAGTAAAGAAAAATAAGCATTTACTTTGAGTCTAGAGACAAATTCTAAAAGCTGGTATGTCTATACATAACTGCTATTATGAATAAGAGAAAATGGACCTGTACTGGTCAGACATCCAGCAATGTTCCTGGCCCTCATAATATTACTTTGTTCTCCAGCAAGAAAAATAGATATTTAGTAAGGGAAGATTGAATCAAGCACTGCAGAATGAAAAATACTTCCCTTCTCTATTTTCTTTAAAAAGCAAAATGCCTAACTAATATTCATCTAGTAGAAAATGGTGGGTAGGTCACTAACTGCTCGCTACGAGGGGGGACTAGATGAGGCGTCTTGGTAAACAACCCAACTACAACAAACCAGGACTCTGTGGCACTGGGAGGACCGGCCTCGGTTGTGAACCACAAAACACCACAAGTGCCACACCAGAGCGCTTGAACAGTGCTCTCATGAGGGATAGCAACAACATCCCACACATATCCTGGACTGTTTTGTACCGTAGCATCAACAGCGTCATATCTCTCCTCTCATGCCGAGCCAAGGGAGGCTGAGTCACACTCGCCTCGCCATTCAAATTGGCTGAATCGGTACGGGTAACACATATATTTATCAGTAAGCCTTACCGCTTTAGACTTTATCAATTGCTCACTGAAAGCACATTAGCTCAAGCTATCTTTCTCTAAGTATATAAGAAATTCATATGTCAAAATATAAGGGGAAAACCTTCCATCTATTCTGATGACACTGAATATCAAGTATATCAATTTTAAAAATAGTTTGCTTCTGACAATGTAATTATTTATAAATATTTTGTTAAGTACATGTCTTCAAACAAATGTTAAGGCCAAAGGAATATTATGGAAGAACTTATCTCCAATAACATTATGCAGTATTATTGCCATATAAGCCTTCCTGTTTTTATGCACTATTCTGGCTACAGTGATGCATGGGAATAATTTGTACAATGCTTTAAAATAGTGAAGTTTGAGAAATCAATAATAAAATATACAGGAAAGGAAATCAACACATTTGACTACAATCCTTCAAAAAGCAATTCCCCATCGGATATATTCCCACACTCCACACATGGCAAGAAATATGCCAATTCTTCTCTTAAGATCAACATAATAATTCATGTGAATGTAAAATTATTATCCCTATTATTATCAGATACATCATCATTATGTCTCACTGGGTATATAATGGTTATCACACTTGTTCATTTCACCCCTGAATACTTTCCCAACCCATCACTGACACATATACACATCATGAGGAAAGGAACTTTGATACCAACATTTCAAATCAGTATACAATTTTAGTCTACTAAAATGTGGAATATTCAACTCCATCCCTGCATCACAATGGTTTCTTCATCCATGATAGTGTCTTAGGAATACTTTTCAAATGAGGTAGTCAGAGATTTTGTGAAATGATTTTAACAAGTAAACATTTAGTGTGACTGAATAAACGTTCAACTTAAATATTCATATTCTACAGAATATGTATTTATTTATTTATTTTTTGTTCTTTAGGGATGTAAGCAAGAATTACTGTTCAGGCTAGATTTCCTTTGAAAGCAAAATCATAACAGGCAGTGATGTTAGCTTGGGATCAGCAAGGTAAAGATGCTGATATTCAATTTAGACAGTCTGGTTTGCAGCATAATACACCTTTTTTCTATAACCATTATACATATATTCACACCTTTTTAAAAAAGATTTCCCTTACACATGCACTGAAATTACTATAGCTTTGCTATCAGAAAGGCAAATCACAATGCAAATGAAACTTTTGACTTGTTAAGGTCACTAGAGCTGGCGCACACACAGTGGCAGAGTTACTGTCCCTTATCCCTGCATCTCTCATGTCCACAGTCCTGCAGATACCAGATGGTGGAGCACATCTCCACTTCCTTACAGAGCCCTTGGCAGCTCCATCCACTGTAGTGATGCACCACTTTGAACACTCATCAGTCTTGATACATTTCTCAGGTCCTGTCCACATGAAAAACTTGAGCACCGACGCTTCATGCTTAGCTTCCCTTTACCCAAGGAGGCTTGGCAGTTCTCCCATCCAATAGCTTCAATGACAGTCCTGATGGTCAGTTCTAGTGGGGAGGGAAGTGTGGAAACACATAAGTTATATTGTTTGTCAGTAATATATAGGCACCAGACAACTGATAATCACATAAGAGTCTTACTTTTAGCAGTATCAGAAAAAAATCAAACTCTCTACCAACAGAAAATAATACATGAAAGTGAATAAGGGTCTTGGATGATGAAGAACATTCCTTGCAAACTGCAAACTTAATAATTTATTCATTCTGCCAAATAGAAAGGAAAAACAACTAGGCCAGGTTTCCAGGAGCACTCACTGGTCAGGTGCATGGGCTGTGCTCGAGAGTAAAGGGTCTGTGTCGCGGAGGGAGAGCTCCGATGAGGGGCCCGCCCGTGCTGGAGGGAGCTGGTGGAGAAGGGCCGGGGGAGGGAGAGGCTGCTGTGCTGTGACTGCTGCCCCCCCCACTGCTGCTGTTCCCCCCACTGCTGGTCCCTGGCACCCCGGGCCCGCCGCCTGGCCCACTTTCTCTCTTTCTGCCGCCTGCGCTCGCTCTCTCTGTAATCTGAAGTGCCAAGATCCAAATAATAATCTAGAATGCTTCTCTTCAGGGCTTATGTCCACCCCTTCCTCTCTCTCCCTCTCTCTCTCTCTTTGGAAAACAAAACTACGGTTCCTTTACGAGACATTTAAGAAGTGTAGCTGATTTTATTTTACATAGGATGTAGGGAAAACTAGTTGTAAAAGAGTTACATTCTCAAGACTACACCACTGAGACCATCACCAACTATCAGGAATTCTCTGAGTAAAGAACAAGCAAGAAATCTTGCGGTGCAACACAGTAATTTAGTGCTTTTCTTCTAAGTGTTATATGACACACAAGTGCATGGGGAGTTATGGTTTTACTTCATACTTTTACACCAGTTGATACCAGACTTACAGGTAAAAACATAAAAGAAAGAAAGAAAAAAAAAACAAAAAAAAAGGAAGTAAAAAGTTTGTTTTATTACACTAACAAATAAATGCTGTACATATTCAAAATAAATCAAAAATACAAAACATTAAAAACTTCTTGTAAAAACTAATGCAAATAAATACTGAAAAACTCTAAGAGAGAAATAATACTGGGACTGTAGAGTAGTACTGCCACTACATGCCCCACAAAACAGCTCACCACTCCAACAATATTTAGTTTAGGTTTTGGGGGAGCTTTAGAACACCTAGCAGAAACATGTTGAGATTCTTGTTTAGTTTGTGGTGACTGGATAGGGTGTTTATTGAACTTTAATACGATGCATTCATTTTATTTTCCTGAAATCTTCAAAAATTAGTGTTTGCAAATAACTTTTCTGATTATCATTCTCCTATCATGAAGAACTAACAAATCTATTATGATTACTACAATCTGGTAAGACCAAAACAATCTATTATATATATTCTCAATACTACTGTCATTTGTATATGATATATATTTGGTCTCCTTTCATTCAGTTGTACTAAGGCAATTTGCAAAAGCTAATATAGAATCCTGAGCAAGATGGAGGGTTGTTTACAGATGTTTGTATGTCTGGGAGTGGTGACTTTAAAACACAACACAACACAACATCAACACATCAAACACAGAAAACTTGAAACAATACTTCCTGTCACTTTGGGTCTGATTCAGACTAACTCACCGTTTTATCCGTTAGTAACTCCCATATGCTGCTACGAGAAAGAAACGAGAACAAGTAAATATAGATTGGACAGCGATTGTTGCACTACACCAGTACAACAACCACGTGACGACACTTACTTACATTGCTACTGTGCATGCAAAAACAAATTAGTCAGGCAGGTTTACAGCTCTTGTTGAAACAATGAGAATATTTTCTTTTGGATGCTACTTGAATTCTTGTTGACTTGTTCTGATGATACTTTAGGAGGGGATAAGTTTACAAGAAACTCTTTGAATACAGAAACAGCTGTAAACCTATTGCATTTCAGTAAACAACAACAAAAGAAGTATTTCAAAGCAGCTCATATGATGTTAAAATGTCACTCTCTAATGCTTGTACATTCCAGCATACATTGAAATCTTAGCCAAAACAAGACACAGTTCCCAAACATGCCATTAATATTCACCCTGAAATCATTCACCCAAATAAGCAATAAATTCAGTGCACAAATATCTACAGGAAAGATTAATAGGCCAGTGCCCAATCAGTAAATAAAATAAGCTGTAATAATGGGGTCCAATTCCCAAGAAAGAAGCTCTTCTAGAGATTTTCAACTTTCTTTTCTTTTCCTTTTGCAATAACTCTTTTTGCATTTGCATTTGCATGCATATGTTTAGTATTTTTGTTTGCCTAAAACTCTCTGTGAAGACTTCAATCAGTTGTACCAAAAGCTGACTTTTCAAAGATACACGTGAGAAAATGAAACAGCAGCTCACTGTTACATAATGAAAAATCAAAAGGAAAAATATAATTTTCAGAAGTGCAGATTTTTCCTTATTTAATATACCAAATTGAAAAAAAGAAAATACACACAATCCCTGTCAGAAACATTCCAGTTAATCTGCTTTACTTGCAGATGGATTTCTTTGAAATGATCTTATACTCAGTATTCTTGTACTAAAGGAAAGGAGTATAAGCTTAAGTATGTTACTGTGCACAAATATATTACTGTGAAAGGAAACTATAATTACTGTGAGGTCCCTTACCAAGTCCCTAACTCAGTCTCTGCAATGTCTGACTCCACTGTTAAACTTTTAAATATTATTTTCCAAAAAACTTTGTTCTTAGCAAGAAAATATTTGCAAAACTGTTCTTGAACATGTTGATATGAAAAGTTGCTGTTATTTGAAAGTTCAAGCATATTTTCACACTAAAAACTGACTGATCAAAATATGCCACAAAGTATTTATTACTCAAGCGAATATCACAAATCTTCATAAATACATATATGAATCCATGCAAATTGACACATTCTCATGGAACTTCCACTCAACATAACACAGTGCATGACACACTTTCCAGATTCTATAGTGTCAGTCACAGTTCACAATTTCCACGATCAATCTAATATGATCTTTCAGTAGCACTTAACCACTCTCCTATCACTCATATTCAGAAAGCTCAAGAAATGCCTATCCAGAACTGTTTTTAGAATTTACACTAATCTGTTTAATTGCAACTAAATTATATCTAAGTAGTCAAAATGCTTAGACTCCTGGGTGACATACTACTGACCAAATGATGTTACTAGCAAAGTTTGTAACTGAATACCCACAAAAGAAGCCTCATCTCCTAAAAACACAAATCTCTTAGTGATTGAAAAATGCAAGAGCCCATAAGTAGTGGAAACTATAGAAAATAAACCAGCAGCACAAATTCTACATGATCTAGAGCGCTGTCTTCCTTTGATAAGCCAATTCAACCAGTGTGCCTAAATGATATTAGTATCCAAAATATTAGTTACAAAAAAAAAAGAGAAAATGTGTAGACACTATATGCTATATACAACACACATAAATTTAGAATGGCTGAACCAGTTAGAATCACACCCCAAAATCACCACACACTTGATGCACCACATATTCTGAGCTTACCCTATCTGCTGATCTTTTAGGAAGCCTTTACTTACTTTTGCTTTGTCTGGCGCATAAACTGCTGAATTTTTCGGGCAGCTTGATGTTGCCTTCGCTGTGAGTATGTTCGTCTGTAATATTTATGCCAAAGTAAGATCACTGTTCATACTGCAAATCAGGGTATAATACCTGCTTGAAGCTTAGTACTTGTTCTTGTACTATAAGCTATTTACCAGTAAGTCATTTCTCTTTTTTTCTTATTTCTTCCCTATATATCTTAATCAAACTAAATTTAAACCTGTTTTCATTAGAGTATTAAGCCTTCTCCAATTCTCTTTTCTTTCTGTAAACTGATTCTAAACCTGAATCAAACTTACTTTAATGTTGGTATAGGTGTTGTCTCTCTGGATCCTCTCAGTGAAAAATTTACACCAGTGTGAGTGCCACCTTCGAGACTCTTCTTGAAGCGTTTGTGTTCACAGTAAGACCGAAACTGGTTCTGAATGAGTGTTGCAGCTCTGCTCATTTGTCTAAAATACACATACTGAAACACAGATGCAGGCAATCATTAGTTCATATGGATATAGAGAATGAATCATTGAATCTAGTAAAGCTATTTTCAGCAATAACACTGCCTTATGTACATATAATGATTAATCTAAATGGATGAAGACAAAAAAACATGTTTATGAATTGTTTAATTAGTTACAGGCAGTGATGATACCAAATATATGACACATCATATGGAGATGGCAACATTGAAGATGCTGCAATATTCACTGTGACAACCAGGATTGACCAAATTACAAATGAGTGTATTGCAAGGGTAGCACAGGTAGATAAAAAGAGAGAGAGGGTGAGAAGAGAGAAGAGAGGAGAAGAGAGAAGAAAGATAGGTGAGGAGAGGAATGGAAAAGAGAGAAAAGAGAAGAAATTTATACCGACATATATTTCCTACCTGTTTGTAACGTCTATAATAATTCTGAATGACTATGGCTGCTTGTCTTTCTTTATCTTGCTCTTGGAGTCTCTTGCGTCCCTTATAGAGCCTATAGGCCTTTTGAATTGTTTTTGCAGCCTCATATAATTCCCGCTGCTCACGGTCTGAAAAACAGGAGTCTCAACATCATGGTACACACAACTCTCTCTTGCTCTTCTGTCACATACCTACATATACACTCACATATATACATACATATATTCATACATCATTTATATCAATGTATTCTCCTTGTATGCATATATGATATATCATACACACACACACAAACACACACACACACACACACACACACACACACACACACAC